TAGTCTAGGGGCCTAAATAACTACCTATCCTTTTTTAGGGGGGGGTCCTTATTATAACTATAGTATAATGGGTCCCAAAACCCTTTTCTAATTATTAAGGCCCCTACATTATAGAACCCTGTTAGTAGAACCCTTTAACGAACCCTTCAAGGAGCCCCCCCAAAGCCCTTTTCTAATTATTAAGGCCCCTACATTGAAACCCTAAAACTAAGTTCCTGACCCCGAAGCCGATCCCCGAAACAGTGAACATCTGCAGGCCCACGCTTTAAGCCCTTTAGGGTTTCGGGTTTAGGGTTTCGGGTTTGGGGTTTAGAGTTTAGGGTTTAGGGTTTGGGGCTTCGGGTTTAGGGTTCTAGGCTTTGAGTTCTGCCGTAAACCGCGAAACCTTGGAACCCGTCGTCTTAAGGTGGAGCTCCTAGCAGGCTTATCCTTTTCACTCTGCTTAGACTATACAGGTGTCTTGGGTCGAAACCTTCGCGTTCGAAAAGCATCGGAACCCCCCTAAACCCTAAACACTAAACCCCAAACCCTAAACCCTAAAGACTGCGTTATGCCGCGTTGAGTTGCGTTGGTGTGGAGCTTCACCGTTGCTAGTTCCTCGAAGCTTTCGATGTGCCACCTCGCCTTCATAAGCGACAAGGCTCGACAAAAAGTCAGGCACTACCGATGCGGAACGGGAGAGTTTCTCGGAGCAGTCTGCAACACGTGCAACCTGGCGGTGAGGCGAGAGAAAACCATTCCGGTCTTCTTCCACAACGGAGGTAGATATGATTTTCACTTTCTGGTGAGAGCTCTTGCGCACCTCAACCGCTTTGGCAGGGCTGACGCCTTTGTTCCGGAGGAGTTCGAAGCGGAGGTTCTGGACGCAGAGGGCGAGGACTCAGAGGCCGAGGACCCTGAAGTCGCGCATGAAAGAGAGTCCCTGCCTGAGCTGGATGCCGTGGACACGGAAGCCCGGGTCGCGATTGCGGCGAGGGGAAGATGCTGGGCGGGCGCTTCGATCTGAAGAGGCTGCGGTGGGTAGTTATCAATGGGGGGTATAAGTACGGTGACTATACTTATAACCCCAAAATTACGGGACTTATAACCCCACTTCTAGCTAGCCCTAAACCCTAAGCCCTAAAGCCTATAGAACCCTTGAAAGGAACCCTTAAAGGAACCCCATAAACCCCACCTATAGATACCCATGAACCTCCAAGTACCCGTGATCCTTCAAGTGATCCTTTTGCCAACCCTGAGCTTCAAGGCTTGTTTTAATTAATGTAGGTTTAGGGTTTGGGGTTTAGGGTTTAGGGTTCAGGGTTTAGGGTTTAGGGTTTAGGGTTTAGTAAGGTACTTTAATTAATGTAGCATACTGGAGTGGTAGTATAGGGGCCTGGATAAATTACTTATACTTATACTATTTTGGGGTGTTCAAAGCTTACTTTGATTATCTAGCATGACTGGAGTGGTAGTATAGGGGCCTAGGGTTTCGGGTTTAGGGTTAAATTACCTATACTATTTTTTGGGGGGGCTCCTTTTGTAGTTAGAGTATATATACTATACCCCAAGACCCTATTCTAATTATTGAGGCCCCTACATCACCTTCTTTACTGCCCGTGAGCTTCGACGCAATTTTGATACATACCCCAAACCCCCAACCCTAAACCCTAAACCCCTAAACCCGAAACCCTAAACCTTAAACCCTAAACCCCTAAACCCTAAACTCTACGATAAGAAACTAAGCGCCATCACGGCCTCTGAAGACGAAAGCCCCCCGGAAACCCTAGAAGGGTTTAGCCGTTTAGCGTTTAGGGGTTTAGGGTTCAGGTGTTTAGGGTTTACAGGTTTAGGGGTTTAGTTGTTTAGGGTTTAGGGTCTGACCATGTAATCCTCACAGGAAAAAGCATCTGTCACCTCAAACGTTCCGAGGAGAGACCACACTTGCTTGCGGACGCCTTGAGGATCGCACATTTTGGGTGTCTGAGGATGTCGGGTTTAGGGGTCTCGGGGTTTAGGGTCTTTGAGCTTTGAGGTGTTTGGGTTTCGGGCTTCGGGGATTTAAAGGTGTAGCGTCTAGGGGACGGCTTTACTGTCTGAGGTTTGGGGAGTTCCAGGTGTCCAGCTCACCGAATATCCTGGGTCTTACAGCCCGTCCCTACTTGGAGGTTCATGCGTAGTCATAAGTGGGGTTCTAAGTCCCGTAATATGGGTTATAAGTATAGTTACCCTACTTATAACCCCACTTATCACGACCCATGAACCCCCAAGTAAACCCCCAAACCCCTAAACCCTAAACCCTGTTCCAATTATTTCGGGCCCCATGCGACTCATAGCCACGAACATGGAGTCCCAATCCGAAGTCGCCCATGCCAAACCCTAACCCCGAAGCCGAACACCTTTTCATATGGTCAACATGCAGAGTTTATTTTGGTGTAGTTTAGTATTTAGGGTTTTTATGCGGTCTTAGGAAGTCTCCGTACATGTCGCATCCGCTTTACGAAAAAAAGCCCCGAAACTGCTAATCATCGCAGCGCAGCTGGCGAAGATGCTGTCTGAGCCATGTCAATTGATAGTGTTTTCCTCAGGGGCCCCTGGTGGAATCTAAGTTTGAAACCATGGGCCGCTAGCATAGGCCCTTAACCCTGGGATCCTCATACACCTACTATATACCCTCTATGTACCCTTTAGGGTCCCTGGAAAGGCCTGAGGGTCCATATTAGGGGCTCATACTTCTGGCCTTAGATGAAACCCTTAAACCCTAAACCCTTAA